ACACAGAACCAGCATACTGCATTGTGCATCCTCCTTTGCCTAATAATGTATCCAGGAGCTCTTTCTCTGGTAGTATACAGAGCTTCCTCATGCGCTTTTAAAAGGAGCATATATCCCATCATGTGTATTGGTCCTCTGGAAGTGGGTACACATAGTTTCCAACCTTCTACATTCATAAACAATGCTGCAAAGAATAATCTCATCCATATGGTATTTTCTAAGTGTGTATTTAGGAAAGAGTCCCAGAAGTGGGATTTCTGGTTTAAAAGGTAAATGCATCTGCCCTTCATAGACTCTTAAATCCTTACCCTCTCACTCACTCCCCCTGTCACCAGCCTGGTTTTACACCTAGATGACTGAGATGGCTTCCATTCTAGCTATCAGTGCTGGATTGACCTGTCCAAAAGCACGCTTTGATTTATTCATCCCCCTGCTGGAAAATCTCCAGTAGTCCTCCTGGCCTACCAAATAAATTACAAATTCCTTAGTCTGTATTTAAAACCCACCACGGTCTGCCCGACGTCCCCTCCTTTCCAGGTTCAGCTTCCCGTCCTCACCTCACCTGGACAGGGCTGTGACTGCTCTCTAAGCACCTATGCTTTCCTACCTCCAGGCCTTTGCCCAGGCCTTGTTCTTCATCAGAAATGCCCACCTCTTCTTCTGCCTACCCAAACCCCACTCATTTTTTAAGGGCTTTCTTAAATGGCACCTCCTCCTCAATCTATCACTTGCCACCCTCAGCCAGAAATGATTTCACCCAACTTCCCCAACATCCTGTACTTAAGTCAATGACATGGCACTTGCCTTATGGCACCTTCTATCGTAGTTACGTCTGTCTGGAGCTCATCTTTCGCATGAGGTTGTACATTCTTTCAAAGCAAAGACTGTGCCTTCTGTACCTTAGATTTCCCAAAGTGCTCATCACGGGATTTCGCACACACGAGTCTCTCACTAAATACTCACTAGTAGATGGTTTATTGAGAGAAATCAGCCTTTTGGCTTGACCCCCCTTCCCCAAGCCTGGAAAAGGCTCACAGGGAAATGAGGCAAGCAGGTCTGATGGCTATAAAATACGCACGTGTGCAGTGAGGCATGAACGCAGATGCAGACACCCCGCCCACATGGAAGGCTGGCTCATAAATTCTGTCCATTTTAGAGCAGTTGTAGGATTAATGACAACAAAATTAAGTGGAACTCAGCAAGCCCTCCATCCCTCTTGAGGGTTTGCTATTTTTCAAGCTGTTTTAGTCCATGGACCACAAACTTTAAAAAAGTTACAGCGAAGGGACTTGGTAAGGACTACAACTGAAATAAGAGGCACTGGGCTCTTCTCAAGAAAAGGTCAAGATCATAATCTATTCTAGAAAAACTCCAGACTAGGCTTCAGAAAGTGTGGGTTCAAGGCTGAGTCCTCTTATATTATGTGGGTACTTCATCTAATCAGGAAGCTGTTTTTCCCATCTAGAGAAAACAAACACACACAAAAACCTTCCTTTACAGGAAAACTATTTTTGTTAGTTTTTTGAGGAAGATCAGCCCTGAGCTAACATCTAACAGCCAATCCTCCTCTTTTTGCTGAGGAAGACTGGCCCTGAGCTCACATCCATGCCCATCTTCCTCTACTTCATATGTGGGACACCTGCCACAGCATGGCGTGCCAAGCGGTGCCACGTCTGCACCCGGGATCTGAACCGGTGGACCCCAGGCCCCCGAAGCAGAACATGCGCACTTAACCACTGCACCACCAGGCCGGCTCCTACAGGAAAACTTTTTTCCCCCTCCAACCTACTATCCAAATGTGGTTCTCCATTCACGTGGCAGGAAGAACTGAATTAGGGAAAAAACGATGGTGTTCCCACCATCTTTTGTGATATGACCTGTTTACCTACCTTGACTCAGCCTGGAAGCTAACTGGGAAAGTAAAACTCAGTCAGTTTGTGGCTATTCATGGAAATGGTTAATTTCAGAGGATGAGGGCCAACCTCCCTCTACAGATGTACCATAGTTATCTCCCCAAAGGGAGGTAGCATCTGGCCTGCCCCAGGTTCAGACAAATGTCCCCCTCAAACGCTTCTGGTACCTTCCTCTCTGGTTCAAGCTGCCATCATCTCAAGTCTGAATTTCAGCAAAAGTCTCCTAGACAGTGTTCCTGAATCTGGGCTCTCCCAGGGCCAAGGAGTGTACTTGTCCATACCAAACCGAGTGCCAATGACTTGCCAATTGCCGATTCCATGGGTCTCTCTTCAGCCTTCACCTCACTTCTACATTTGACCTCTCTTCTACCATTTGAAACTGTTATAAGCACACTGTAATTCTTTTTGAGACCCTTTCTCCTCCCTTGGCTTCCATCACATGGCCCCTCCTGATTCTTCTATTTCCTTTGCTGGCTCGGCTTCCGCTACCCATTCCTAATGCCCTCATACTGCAATCTGTCATCTGCCCTCTTTCCCTCTTTTTCCACATACTTTTTCTGATCAAGCTCATCCACTCCTACAGCCTCAACTTGCTCCTATGTGCTAATCCCTCCAAAACTGACATCTTTCCCAAGCTCTAGATCCACTTCTCAACTGTTTACTGAACATCTCTCCATGGATGTTCCACAGGTACCTCACCTCAGCCATGATCCAGCCTGTCTGAAACCCAACTCAGCAGCTTCTTCCCCCTTCCCCTGTCAACCTGTGCTTCCTCTTTAGTTCTCTATTTCAGCTAATTGTCCAGGTCATGCCCTATTCAACTTCAGCTCTTCCCTCAGCTTCTGACCCCATATGTAACTGTCCGCTAAATGTCACCAGTCCCACATACTATTTCTTCTGCATTCCAATTGCCGTGGCCAATGCCCTCATTGACTCTCAGCTGGGCAGGATAATGGCCTTCCTCTTTGTTTTCTCTATCAGTTCAACCCATCCTCCAGAGTTTCTCACTCCACAATATAAGTTTGATTATGTCACCACCTCACTTAAAACCTTTTAATAACTTCCCAAACTCCTTAATACCTGGGCCCAAATTAACTTTCCAGTCCCATTACTAGTCATGACCTGTCTGTCCTAAGATGTCTTCTGTTCTTCCCTCTTAGGTCCAGAGAGAAACTACAATGTTCTGTATAAGGAGTTTCATAGAGAATGCCCTCACCTCACCTCCCACTCCTCAGATCAACACATATGGAAGGCCAACTTTGTGCTCTCTACCACTCTCCTCAAAATCTCCATAGTAAATCTGTACTCATCCTTCAAAGGCAAGACAAATGTCACCTTCTCTCTGTAGCCTTCCTTGACCTCCTGTCCCAGTGGCAGAACCACTGATTTCCCTCATTTGTGTCCCCCAGAATTTTGTTCCTGCCTTTATTATGGTGCCTATCATAAGACCCCTGTATGCTCCCAGAAGGCAGGAACCACTAGTAGTCATTTATGTATCCCCGGTGCCTAGTACGGTGCCACCAGGCTTATAACAGAAACTCTGTAAGTGTTAAAGTAGCACATTGCTAAATTTGCCTCTTATCATGAAGGCGGCAAGTTTCTGAGGAGATCAGCCTGACTGGAGTAGAGAGATCCCACATGAGAGATGACGTAGCTCCGTTAGGGGAAGAGTTTGTTTTGCTGAGGGCCTTCCTATGTCCCTTGAACATCACAGACAGGTGGCTGCCTGCTCTGCTGGTAAGGAAGGACTCCCGCCTCTACTTAGCCATGTCACGTCAGCCTTCTCTCAGAACACAACAGATGTGGCCTTAAGTCCTGAAAGGGCCTCCCTGTGACCTCACTGTGACTCACAGCATCACTGTCCCCAATGTCAACCCCTCATAGTGTTGCCACATCAACAGTCCACGAATCTAAAGTTACATTCAAAACAAGCTCAAAAGGGCCCAAGGAGCCCTAAGAAGGAATATACTTAAGTTCTAAGCTTAATAAGTGAGGATTGAATTCAATTTTAACTTTTTCAAAAGTTCTGATTTCTGATATCTAGACTCATTATGACCCAGGTACATTGGTTCCCTTCCCCCATAGCCCTCAAATCTCCTAAGCCCTTAAATCATTTCTCTCGTACTGTAAGTTAGGCCCCGCCTCAGGACTCAGGTCCAAGGGGCACTTAAAAAAGCCCCAGGCCAGTGGCTTAGTTCTATCAAGCAGCAACTTGGCTGATCCATACTGTGTACCAGGGACCGTGCCAGGTCAAAGGAGACCTTGTCTCTGCCCTTAGAGAGCTTCTACTTCAGAGGCAGAGGCATTAAAACAAAGCCCCTGTGAGTCTAATAAGTACAATGAGTTCCATGGTAGAAGTGTATGCAGTCCATGCAGGCGTACATGGTTGGATGATGGCCAGAGAGCCTTGAGGTGGCTGTGTCTTTGGTTCCAGAAATGTGTTGTTGCCTCCTTCAGTCTGTCAACAAACATTTATTGAGCCTCTACTGCCAAGTTCCTGCCCTTGTGGAACTTACACTTGGGTTTCAGTTTTAGCAAATGGATTCCTATCTTCTTCTGTACCAGAGTACCTTCCAGAAGCACCAGTTCTCTAGAATGAGAGCTCTGCCTTTCCCTCAGCCAGACCTTCCCGGAACTTGAGTTCTCATCTTGGAATTCAAGTCATATTACTGAGTCTGCCTCCCCAGTGCTGAGTGTACATACCTGTCCATCTTCCCCGTTTTGGCCTGTAGCTGGAACCTCTGATACTGTCCTTTGCCCACCGCGCCTCAGTGTCCTCATCTGTAAACTATGGATAACAATAGTATCTCCCTCCAAGGGATATTATGAGGACTAAATGAGACTCGCTTGGCAAATGCTACGTACTTAATAAATTAACTATCATGACCATGGTTATCATCTTTACTTCTAAGATCCTTGCCACACTGCCTGCCTCATCAATGGACCTTCCCTCCTCTTGACGAGGTGTGAGTTGGGGACAGGAAGGGCCCTCCCCCCAGTCATCCCCACCCCCACCATGGTTGTGCGTGGGCTCAGTTTGGCCGTCACAGGCTGGCCCACCCAGACCCAGCCAGGGAAACTGAGTACCTCTCAGTGTCAGATAGCCATAAGCCAGGCAGGCCAAAGCCTGTGCACATTTCCAGTGTTCTTCCCCAAAAATAATCCGAGAAAGGATAGCGCAGCGAATCAGCTCCTTGTTTGCTTGGGTATTCTGCAGAGAGCAAAGAAGTTATTATGCTTTTTGGAAAGGAGTAAAAGTTCCCGCCCACGCTCTTAGCACTGGAAGGTGGGACTGAATTCACCTGTCACCTTTTTCTCTTCTCTTTCCCTCCATCCCACATCTAATCCATCAAGTCCTGTTGGCTCCACTTTTTCCTAAGTCCTAAAACTAAGCTCTTCTCCTCATTTCTGCCATGACTACCTACTTCAAGCCATGCTCATCTCTCACCTGGCTGACCACCAGCCCGTCCTGGGCTGTTCCACTCCTGCCTCCCATGGTCTACTTTCTACATCATGGCCAGGTGACTTCTTTTAACCTTGTATTGTGAAAAACTTTAATGATATACACAAGTAGTATGGAGAACAACTCACTCAACTTCATCAGGTATCTCCTCCTGCTCTATCTTTTTCACATCTATGCTCCTCATCCACCTACCCTCTCCCTCTATTATTTTCAAGCAAATCAAGATATTAAGTCATTTCCTATTTCATAAGTATTTCCAAAAGATATGAACTTAGAAATATAATCACAAAATTATCTCACTAAAATATTAACAATAATTCCTTAATATCAAATATCTAGTCTTATAAATCTAAAAGTCACCTTATAAATCTAATATTTCTTTTACAGTTTGACTGTCCCTACATTGACATGTCTCCTGAGTCTCTTTTCATCTACAGGTTACACCTCCAACTCTGATTCTTTTTATTGCAAGTCATTTGTTGAAGAAACTGGGTCATTTGGTCTAAGGTGTTTCCCAAAGATGTAAAGTTTGTTGATTGCATGCTTATGGTGTCATTCGATGTGTCCCTCCATTCTGCTGACAGCCTAATTCTATCATTCCTTCTGCATATGTTAGCTGGAATAATTCTACAAAGAGAAATCTCCACTCATCTACTTTCTGGCTACCAAGAGTAAAGTTCAGATCAGAAGGACAGGATACGTGATTTATTCTCTTTATTTATCAGCTTGCAAAATAATGAGTTTGTTCACTAGCATCCGCCAATGGTGACCAAATAGCTTGTTTTTTATTTTATTATAATAATATTATAATATTTTTATCTTATTATATTTTATTATTATATTTATTATGGATTTTTAAAACATATTTGATGTTCCTGAAGATAGCAAACTAATTTCTAAATCAGTGTTTCTGCTCCCACCATTCCCTCTGCTGGGGACACTTTTCTATGTCGTTCAATCTCTCATTTCATTTTCATTTTGTTCGCCTCGGAGAGGCCTTGCCTGCCCACTCACCCCATCACTGTCTATGGATTTACCTGTTTTATTTTTTTCTTCCTGACACTTACCTCTCTCTGATATAACACTATTATTTTTTTGTTTGCTTGTCTATTATCTGTCTCCCCAAATAGAAGATAAGTTCCTCGAGGACAGAAGTTTGTCCCTCGCGGTCACTACTGTATGCCCAGTGCACAGAGAATATACTCACTCAACACTTGCTGCATGATCCTCTCTCTATTAGCAAGGATAAGGATGGGGTGAGGAGAGAGCTCCCTGCCCCTGTAGAACTGAGGGGCAGAGCTCTCTAAGAAATCACGGAATTGCACCTTCAAGTTAAAGATTTCAGCGACTTTACAAACACAGTCACCTATATTAGCTGCACTAATTGACAAAGTCAGGCATTTATTTCCTGGTGAGGTGAAAACAGCACTTCAAGGACTCGAAGACCCTGGAGTTTCCCTGGTTCTGATGTTTACTGATTGTGATGTGTTTGTTAGGCAAGATCACCCCGAGGCCCAGCTTTCTTTTCTACTTGGAAACCTATACCACCTACCTCATGGGGTTATTGTCAGGAAAATGAGTCAGCATCCAAGTGATCCAGGTTTGTTAAGAGCTATCTAAATGTAACCCACTACAGTAAGACACAGGTACGGGAGTCCACCGACTGCTCCCTCCTGACCCAGCTCCTCCCTAGCCCATTGCTTCACCTGCTCCCAGCTCACATACACGCATGCAAACACTGTCAGACGGACATTGCTCTCGTGCTTTAAAAACATCCATTCAGTCAGAATTTTTGCGAGTTCTCCATGGGCTGACCACAGTAAATACTAAGTTCTATTTTGAGGAAAAGCGTAATAGCATGAAAAGCCACTGGGATGGGAGTCCAAACCCTTGAGGTCTGTCCTGCTCCAGACATTCTGTATTCATCCATCCCCAGACTTCCTGCCCTGGAGAAACCAAGACAAGCAATACGGGCTCTGGAGGCCAGCCCTGCCCTGCTGCGGCTGCTGCCCATCCTCCTGCCCATCAGGGCTGTGAGCACCAGCTGGGCTAGATTGAACCCCTAAATCTAAATCTTTGTCATGATTCACACTGGTCAAGGAGTTGTCAGGCCTTCAAAGCCCACACCTGCACTCCATGGCAGATGCTACTTGTCTGTGTCTAGAGGTGACTGTGAAATACCAATGAGCCCAGGCTAGGATGACTGTCCTTTGCAAGTTCTCTGGGTGATGGACAGAGGTAAATTTACAGATCTATCCTTCTAGGGGGTGTCAGCTTCTATCATCCGCCTCTGAGGTGCCTCTCAGCCTTTCCTGAGACTCTGCAGACCTTTTTTTCACACATGTCCTTTAAGTTCATTTTTTCCTTGGCCAGGAATGGCCACAAAGTCAGTGTGTGAACTCCCCTGTGGATAAATGATGCTCTGGGAGCAGGCCAGTGCCTGCGTTCTAATAATGAGGGTCACTGTCATCCTATCTCAGGTTCCTGGATTTTGACTCTCGCTAAATATTTGCTCTGAGCTCCTAGTTCCCAAGTCCTTGCCTCGCTCTTAGAAATGTCCACCTGGCCTCTCCGACCTCTGCTGCTACCTCCCGTCTCTTGGGTTTGGGTTTGCTTATGATTCCACTGGGACCACTAGCACCTTTCCCAGATCCTTGCCAGGCCTGAGCCTAGACCTCTGACCCACTACCCTTGTTCTCAGCCTCCTGCCTCACTATCCTGGCCTTCTTGTTACCCCACAGATATCATCCTGAAACCTTTCAGGAGAAATCAAAACAATGTTTTTTAATTAAAGGTAATCAAACAGCAACAGGAAGAACCAAATATTAATTTTAGTTTAAAGCTCGGGGCACAAATATTCCAAGGAGGAATGCACAGCAGCCCAGGTGTGGAACCCAAAGCGAGGCTGGCTACCCAACTATGCTCTGCTTCGTTCTCCCCCACTTACAAAGAAATAAGGTACCCTCCTCTGCTTCGTGTGCTCCACTGTGCAGTTAAGTCAGAGCTTCTGTAATCATGGACATACTATTAAATGAAAGCTAACACCTAGCAAGTTTTTTGTTTTACCATTTTCCCTTTAATCAGCTGAGCGATTTTCTTCTGCGACTGGGCCAGTCTCTCTTTGGGAGGAGACATGCAGTCTGTGGTCTTCTCCTCCTTGGCCTTAGTGTCTTCTTCACTCTCTCCAGACCCAGTCGCCGGATACAACTCATCCGTCTGCTGGTGTGCTAGGATCCTGGTTTGCTGTGAGCTGTGGATACCAGAGAGGGACATGGAGTCATATCTCAAACAAGGTAAAACTGAAGGATAGAGCCCTCCCAACTGGGGACTAGAGATATGCTTTCTAACATAAACTGGAAGGAATAAAGGTGATAAACTCATGTCACCTTCAAAGCCCAGCACAGAGACAGCAATGTAGGGGTTCAAATGAAACAGATTTGGTAAACCACCGACCTACATCAGAGTTGTAGTTCTGCTGCTTACTAACCATATGACACTAAGCAAGTTAGGACTTAATTTACTTCTCTGTAAAGGGAGGTCAATATGCATACATATCTGATGAGGTTATTGGATTAAATGAGATAATATGCATACATCATGTATCATAGTGCCTGTTTTTTAGTAAGTGCTCTTTTAACCTTAGCTATTATTATTTTTAATAGCTCCATGACTCAGTTTCTTCATTTACAAAATGAGAGTGTTGTATTGGAAGATTTCAAAGATCCTTCATGTTCTAAAATTCTGATCCAAACCAGGAAACAAAATGGATACAATGAAATAATGGAAAGGGAACTAACAGTTTGAGGCTAGACCTCACCTGTCCTCTTTCATATTTCTTAAAAGCTTCAACATGTAGTGGCCAACTAACTATAGACGATGTGGGCCCAGCAAGGAGAGACGAGGGAACCTCACCCTGGGTCAGGAGCAGATTCAGAGGAGAAATGGCCTTCTCAGTTGCGTTAGAAGTAAATGTGTTGAGAAAGAACTGAGTAGGTTGAAAATATGCCCCCTTTCCCTCACCTGCCTCTCTCTCTCACACACACACAATGTACATCTCTGACTTCAATGCTGAACATAATCATGAATGGGTAATTAGAATGGTAAAGATAAAAGTCAAAGAGTTAATCTCACATTACAAAAGAGATAAGTATATCCTAACATCACCAGAAAAATCAATAAAGTGATCCAGAAGAAACAGAATTCTGAGATCTTGAGAACAAGAACCATTTATAATTAATTATAAATAAGTCCCCCAAAGGAATCACCTTTATATTCGCAATAGTTTTTAAAAGTTCAACCATTGCATAGTTTGTTTTTTTTTAAAGATTTTATTTTTCCTTTTTCTCTCCAAAGCCTCCTGGTACACAGTTGTATATTTTTAGTTGTGGGTCCTTCTAGTTGTAGTATGTGGGATGCCACCTCAGCATGGCTTGATGAGCAGTGCCATGTCTGCTCCCAGGATCTGAAGTGGCAAAACCCTGGGCCGCTGAAGCAGAGCGCATGAACTTAACCACTCTGCCATGCGGCCGGCCCCCTTGCATAGTTTTTAATACAAAATTTACCTTCCTTTCCCACTGATTAGATAAGTAATGAATGTTCACTGTACAAAAAAAAGGAGGGGACGGCAGCCAGCCCCATGGTGTAATGAAGTTTGGCATGCTCCACTTTGGTGGCATGGGTTCGTGGGTTCCGATCCTGGGCACAGACCTACACCACTTGTCAGCAATGCTGTGGTGGCAACCCACATACAAAACAGAGGAAGACTGGCATGGATGTTAGCTCAGGGCTAATCTTCCTCAAGCAAAAGAAAAAAGGGAAGATTCAGAAAGGAAAATAAATGTCAAGTATAATCTTTTATGCCAGGTTTGAAAAATGACATGTTAATATCCATACAGAGTCCTGTTCTCAATAACCTATCCAGAAGCATGTGGGCAAAACAGGTCATGTGGATAGGAGAGCAACGTTTCTTCAGGATCGTCTACTGCCCACATCAGAAGTGTGCTTTCAGAAGACATGCAAACTCATTTAAAAAGCCAGGGAAGGCTGGCACTGCAATCCGATCAGAAGACGGTTGCTAAATTTGCCTCTTCCTTCCCTGGTGAATTCTGTATTCCTCCTTCAAGACCCAACTCAGATGTCACCTCAGCTAGAATTCTCGCACTAGAGTAGCAGTAGATACCCCCTCAGGGCTTGCGAAAATTTCCTCCAAACCTCTTCTATGGTGTGAATCACATTATAGTCTCATTTTCAAATTTTATTTGCTTTGTGTCTGAGTCTTCTGTGCTTTCTAGCAAGTAAACTCCAATAGGGCCAGGTCTGAGTTTCATTTGTTCCTGAAACCCTGATACCTGGCTCAGGTAAAACAAATGATGGCTTGTTACATGACGAACAAAGGAGTGAAAAAAAGAAAGTGCAAAGTCTTTAGGATGCTTCAAAAATACTGCGGGTAGGCAAAATCTGTGGCAAGAGATCATAACTGAAAAAAACGAACAGAAAGAAAATTTAGTCCCTCAATAGAAGATTTTGCTTAGGCTGCATATTTCACAGACCTGGAGCGGAAGTTAAATCTACTGGGGTCCCCGAAGAGATAGCTAATTACGGAGATTAAAAATGATTAAGTCCTAAATATTTTAAATTCAGCCTTGAATGAAATTAAGCTGAGACCAAGGCAGCAAGCTTTAGCGGCAGGGACCTCAAAGGAAGAAGAACCATCAAAGTCTTGATAAATGACTTCACAACGTAGAACCCTGAACTAGCTTTGAACATCTTGTTATGAAACAGAAGAAAGATAAATGGAGACTATTGACCTGTCAGATACTGCAAAGGACAGTCAGAATAAAGAGAACAGGCAGGTTGAATGAGAGGCCTGCCTTGCCAGGTTTCTAACTTATTGTATATGTTGCCATCATAACTATAAATTCTGACCAGTAATATTAAATATGAATTATCTGACTATTTCCAAGACACTCTACTGTGAACTCCACATTTATAACTTCAACTTTTATAGTTATATAACCCTTAACCTCAAGATTTTTTACAAGGTAGTACAGAATTAAATTATCCAGTACAGGAACCACTAGCCACATGTGGCTATTAAATACACACAATGGGGCCAGTGTGAATTGAGATGCGCTGTAAGTGTAAAATACAAACTGAATTTTGAAGACTTAGTATGAAGAAAAAATACAAAATGTTTCATTAATTATTTTATATAACATTTGGATATATTGACATAAATATACTATTAAAATTATATTCACCCGTTTCTTTTTATGTTTTAATATGGCTACTAGAAAATTTAACATGACACATGTGGTTCGCATTTGTGGCTTGCATTATGGTCCTATTCGATAGCATTGGTACAGAGCAATGGTTCTCAACTACGGGTGAGTTTGCCCGGGGGACATTTGGCAGTGTTTGGAGACATTTTTGCTTGTCACAGTTGGAGCACTGCTACTGGCATCTAGTGGGTAGAGACCCGGGATGCTGATAAACATCCTGTGATGCACAGAACAGTGCCCTACAACAGAATTATCCAACCCAAAATGTCAAGAATGCTCAGCTTGACAAACCCTGGGATAGAGGAATGGTTAAAGAATGGACTCCAGTCAGACTCCTCCATCTGAATACCACTTATGAGCTGTGTGACTTTGGGCAAATTGCCTGATCTCTCTTTGATTCATATTTCTTATCTATAAAAAAGGGTAATAACAGTACCTCCTTCACAGGGTTGCTGAGGGAATTAAATGAGTTAATAGGTGTAAAGTACTTAGAACAGGGCCTGGCACATAGTATTTGCTCAATAAGTATTAGCTATTATATTGTGAAATTTTTTATTTATTGTCTCTTCTTGACTTTTTATTTCATGCAACAATTTTAACTTACTCACTTTGTTATATTTAATTCCCTATGACTTCACCAATCTTGTTATAATTAACCTATCTTCATAAAAAAAATTAAAATTCCCCTTAAGTTTGGAAAAAACAATTATTTCCCATCTTGCACAAGTACAAGTGGATATTACAGCAGAATTGTTATTAAAACACATCACAGGGCCAGCTATGGTGGCCTAGTGGTTAAGTTTTGGCAGCCCAGGTTCGGTTCCCAGGCATGGACCTACAGTACTGTGTTAGCGGCCATGCTGTGGCAGCCCACATACTAGAAAATAGAGGAAGATTGGCATGATGTTAGCTCAGGGTGAATCTCCCTCAGCAAAAAAAAAAAAAAAAAAAAAAGCACTAACAACAAAAAAACACATCACAGAAGCTCAACCTTTTCTTCTGTGTAATATGCATGCAAAGCTCCTCACCCAGATTTGCCTTAAGTGGGAGATCCCAGTGATTCAGGTCAGTGAGTGAGTGTAACGTCAAGGTTCCGTGGTACTTACAGATGGAAGCAGAAGTCCCAGTCGGTGTCATTGCTGACAGTTGGGATGCGGATGGGGCCGGCTTGCATCTTCTTCCTTCAAGAATGACATGTGAGGTCAGCTTTGGAAGAAAAGGCTTAGAAGGCTGTTCTATTTTCCCTCTGATAGACGCTATTAACATGAAACTGAAACTGCCCAAAGATATAACCCATCCTAATTCCACAAACCACCTATGCACACTCATGAATGGAGACCCCCGGAAAGCAGAAATTAAAGACATTTGCTAATTAAATCCCTGAATTAACTTTCTTTCCTCTAATTTGTATGCCATATTACCTCCAAAATCCCTGCCTCTTTTTCACTCCTTAAGCCAGCAGATTTACAGCTCCTGAATCATGAAACTATGGTTTCCTACTCAAGTCAGATATTGTTTTTGCAGGTAGGACAGCAAGATGGATCCAGGCAAAGCAACCAGCCCTCAATACTAAATGAAATATGGCCAATGTATTAGTTAATGCTCTTTGTCCCTAACGCCATCCTACTATTTAATAGGTGGTCCTAGTTAAGGAGCTAAAACATATGTGTCTATTTTGGTTGCTATTGTAGGGGAGGAAGACTTTTCCTCTACCTAATGTGGGTTCATCTGGCCAGAGAACGAATTAAATTCACATGAGACAGAATAGCAAGAGAAAATTAAACAAAGCTTTATGAGGACCATGGCCCAGGGCCTTTCTTCCCGTAGGAAGAAAGGGCAATGAAGAAGTGGGGTGCACAGAGTGGTTATATACCCCCAAACAGGTGCTTCACATATGATTAAAATGTCCCTCCCACAATAGTCACAAGATTGCCCTGTCGGCACAGCACTTGATGGACACGGCAGGAGGCAAGTCTATTGTCTTGAGCTGGGTGGTCACAGGTGAGAGCAGCAATCACTTCCTAGCCTAAGGAAAGATGCTTAATTCTTAAGGAAATGCCAACATTGGGAGGGGGAGTTGATCATAGGAGATTACCACACAAGTACAGTAAACAAAATGCAGATTTAAGTCCTTGCCTTTGGCATTGATTAAGACTTTCTAGAGAGAAGGTCATCCCGTTTCTTCTTCCTGGCACAGAGGGGGATATCTTTACAGATGGAGCTTTCCTTTACAATGTAAATGTCTCCTAACAAAGGGCAAGCAAGTTCCACTCCTCAGAGCCTCCTTCCCTGTCCCAGTTTATCAAAAGCAATCAGCCTCAAATAATCCTCATGCCAAAGAGACATATCTTGGGGTGGACAATTCCAGTCCCTACACTATCATTAGCTGAGGGAGGAAATGGTTGAAACTCAGGGCAAAAAATCTGATTTATAATTATTTGTAAAATTCAACCCTCATAGCTATCCCTATCACTTAAAACCAAATCGAATGCATTTATCTCTTGAACATTAATACCCACCAAGTCGCTCCTCATCTCACCCTGCAGAATGTCACTCCTTCCCACCTGAGCCCTGACTAGCTCTCTCTAACTCAGGCTCCAAAACATCCACAATCCAAAACCCAGAAGGGAAGATTCACTAATTTCTCTTTCTAATCTCTACTACCAAAACTATGGCCAGGGAGAGGGGTTTGACTTCTCAAACTCCTAAACTCTGCTCCTGTGAAGTTCCACACGGCCCTGAACGCTAATACCACACTTCGGAACCTCTCTCAAGCGCAAATCGCTTCCTTCTTTTCGGCAGTGGTTTCGGCGGAGCGTCGTAAACCCTGAACCCGACATCCCGAGCATCGTCTGAGCTTCCCAGGCTTCTTTCCTGCGGGCGGCGCCCGGCCGCAGAGGCTCTGGCCCGAGAAGCGGGCGAGGGCGGCCGCGTACCTGGCCGCGGGCAGAGAAGCCACGCCCCGGAATAGCCTCCCCGGCTCCCTCGGCCGGCAGCTCGGCTTCCTCGGGCGGCGTCAGCGCCTTGGCCTCGGCGGACCTCGTGCAGGGCGCCGCAAGGGTGTCTTGCGGAAGCGAGGCGCTCAGCGAGGTCTGCCTTTCCCGCCGCCGCCAGGGCTCTGGCTCGGGAAACAATGGGGTTGCCATGGGAACGGGACGCTGCAGGCCGAGCCCCGAGCGGCGGCTCCTGTAGCCATGGTGACGCGGAGCACTTCCGGACCTGCGGAATCTCCGGGCGGCTCAGGCCAACCACAGCTCCCGCCGCGCCCTCTGCTTCCCGGTTCCCGCGGGCGTGAAGCCCGGGGCCTGAGGCTCGTCCCCAAACTTCCCTCTGCTGCGGCGGAATCCTCCACTACTGTTCTTAAAGGGACTTCACCTCTCGGAGTTGAAGACGCAAGAAGAGGAGATAAATCCCATCAAGGGGTGGAAAAGAGCGCCGGGCTCCACGACTCTCCCTATTTAAAGCTACGACTTAGCGGGCTGTATCTGGCGACACCCAGCGCCCTCCGCGCGCCCCTTCGCGTACTCTGCACCCCTCAGCTCCCTGTGTGTTCTGGCTCTGCGGCCAGGGAGGAAAGGCTCAGTTATAAGTATTGACGGTGCTGGCACTGTCTGTGTTCCCTCTCCCGGTGTGATGTGAGCTATGCATGGTTAGGAAAGTGGAGTGCAGGAAGGGGAGTAGCTTAAGAAATGGACCACTAGTTCTACCAATGGTTAGCAGTTCAGAGAATATTTTCGAGCGGGGTGGGCACATTTGGCAAACACCACATAGCTAAGTTGTGCAGCCCTATGTTATTATACTACCCCTCTTCAGTGGTCCGAAATACATACAGTGGTGACGATAACTCAGATCTGACTGGAGCCAGGGCAATTGTGGCCAATACCCAAATGAACAGCACCGGCTCCGGCAGCCTCTTGTTTGAGAGTGTTATCATGAACCCTACAATGAACTGAGGGCCTGTCAAGTCAGACCTGGGATGTCCCTCTCGTTTTCAAAAAAGAGCAGGCTCGGTAGAGAAAGGAGGAAAATATTTACTAAGAACTTGAAAGCTGGTGTTTACATTTAGTGTTCTTTTCAGTTCTGAGGTTGAAGTTTCATTGCTATTGATCCAAGACTGCCAAGATAGCCTTTCTGGATTTAGGTTGGAGGAGCTATTTAAATGAGTTTGCTTAAAAAGCTCTTTAGTAAAACCTGGTAGGCCTGTTAGCTCAAGGTTTAAATCTGTACCCTCAAGCTCCTAAGGCAAAACTTTAGAAAGATCCCACTCCTTTTATGCTCTGTTTTCTAAGGAAACTCTCAGAAGGAAACAATGATGAGAGCAATGAGCTTGGCTTCAAGAAGTTGAGGTTCTTGGGGCCGACTGGTGGCGCCCCGGTTAAGTGCGCACCTTCCGCTTCCACCGCCCAGGTTTGCTGGTTCGGATCCAGGGTACAGTCATGGCACCGCTTGGCAAGCCATGCTGTGGTAGGCGTCCAACATGTAAAATAAAGGAAGATGGGCATGCATGTTAGCTCAGGGCCAGGCTTCCTAAGCGAAAAGAGGAAGATTGGCAGCAGTTAGCTCAGGGCTAATCTTCCTCTAATTAATTAAAATATAAAAGTCAAGGTTCTGGTTTTGACTCTGTGTGGCCCAGGGCAAGTCACAGTCCAGGGGACCAAATTTTTTTGCCTATGCACGGACAGTATTTGTACCACTTACTTTCTAAAACCCTGTTCAGTTTCGAGATTCCATGAGGGTAAACTGCAGATTTTTGTGACTCTGTGAACAATAATTAACATGTATGGTGATGAAAAGGAAGAACCAGTTTCCTGTCCTCCAACACTTATTTCCCTTACCCGCGTTAAGTTGATCATCAAGCTGAAAAGTTGTAGTTTTCTCTCATTCTAGGAGATGGCTATGAGGTTGTTTCTAAGCATGTTAAACATGGCTTCTCTTTCCTCAACACTAGCTTTTGCTGATCACTATAAAGGGAAGTATGGGACCAGAACAGGCGCTGAAGTCCGGTTCCCAAAGCCAACACACTGATTCCACCAACGTCTAATTAGCTCCGGCCAGAAGCATGTTGCTCTGATCTGTAAAGATTAGAAATCAAATTAAAGGAACTTTAAAGACTCTTAGCATTCCAAACCCCTGTGCTGTTTTTTCCTTCCCTCGCCATCTTAACCTGGCCTCAAAAGTAAGCTTGGTTAGAGTCGATGTGCATGAGGTTCGTTCACAGACTCTGGGTTAGAATCCTCGTAATCTAGGTGGATGGTGCTTTCACGACGTGCTCACTCACATTCCCTCCCTTGATCCTGAGATTGAAGACCCCAGCATTACTGTTGCAGAAATCTCACAGAGGAAGCACGTGGAGAGGTACTTCTAGACTCTTCCAATCCAGGTCAAATGTGATTATCGCCAGATTATTCCAACTCCAGGAACTGTGAAACTTAAAAACAAGGAAAGCCAAGTAACCTTTCTCTTGGACTGTGTAATTTCTTGAAACAGATTTTCTGGCCTCTCAAGACAGGGTTATATGCCTTCATTCTGAGCTCCCACGGTATCCTGTCTACAGTGTCATCATGACACTTTCCACACTATATTGGTCCTCTCTGTTTACTTTCAAGTTCTCACTCCATGCATCTTTCCATCCACCCAGACAGAAATGCCTATTGAATACCTACTATGTGCCTGATACTGTTCTAAACATTTGGGAAGCAATGGTTGACAAGTAGATAAAGATTTTGCTCTCCTGGAGCTTCTCTTCTACTGGGTGAAGAAAAACAGAGGGCTGCTAGTAAACAATATGACATCTCTGCAAGTTAGAAAAAGGCACATGGCTTAGTGAATAGGCAGCAATGTCGTGTGAATTAGGAAAAAGTGTCTTCTCCTAGCCAGACTCGGGCCCCTGCCAACGGCGAAAGCTTTGGGAACAGAGGACGGGCTGGATTTCAAGACTCACTCCCTCCCTCCTTCAGCTGGATGAACCACCTTACATGGAAGTGATAAATGATATGGAGAAAAATAAAGCCAAGAAAGGGATCTAGAAAGTGATGTGAACCTGTGGGGAGGCTGTGCTAGGTTATATAGTGTAGTTAAGGAGGGCCTCTGAAAAAGGTGGCATTGCACAGAGAACTCAAGGAAATAAGGGAGCAAATCATGCAAATGTCCAGAAGAGCATTCTAAGATGCTAACAGCTAGTGCAAAGGCCCTGAGGCAGGAGCAAGTTTAATGGATTCAAGGAAGAGCAAAAGGGCAATTAAGAATGAGAGACAGGAGAATGGGTCAGTGGAAGAGCAGGGCATCAGGTCATGCAGGGCCTTATCAGCAATCTATACATGTAAATATCCATCCACCCACACACCAGTGAATATTGAATACCTACTAGGTGGCAGGCCCTGTTTGATGAGCTGTGAGTTCCTTGTGTGCAGGAGCTATGTTCACCATGGAGCCCTTAGCATTCAGCACAGTTCCTGGCATATTATCAATGTTCAGTAACATTTCATAAACTGAGTCATCTTCATGAACTTCCCGTTAGTAGAGATTTTGGCCTCTCAATGTGAATGTTTCCTACTGCTGCTGTTAACAAGTCACCGCAAACTTAGTGGCTTAAAATGACACAAATTTATCTCATAGTTCTGGAGGTCAGAAATCTGCAGTGGGCCACAGATAAGGTACCAGCAAGGCTGGTCTTTTCTAGGGGTTCTCCGGGAGAATTTTGTTTTCTTTCTTCTCAGTTTCTAGAGACCACCTGCATTCTGTGGTGTGTGGCCTCTTCCTCTATCTTCAGAGCCAGCAGTGTAGCATCTTTAAATCTCTGACTCTGACTCCTGCTTCCACATTCAAAGACCCTTTGGATTATATTGGACCCAGCCAGACAACCCAGGATAATCTCCTTATTTTAAGGTCAGCTGATAAGCAAACTTAATTCGATCTGCAAACTTAATTTCCCTTTGCCATAGAACAGAAAATGTTCACAGATTCTGGGGAGTAGGACGTGGACCTTTTGGGGTGGGTGGGGCATTATCCTGCCTACCAGAGTGTGTTTAACCTGACTTAAACGCATCGGTTTAAAAACATCGGGAGGTGACCCATAGGCAACACTTAGTACCTACCTCTCCTCCTGTTAAAAACTTACATTATTTGATTGTGTCCTGCTCCTTTTTCTCCTCTACACGTCCTCCATTTATGATCTGGCAGATCTAGTCACAGTTCTTGAATATCCCGTTTCTTCCCATTTTAGGGCCTGGTTTATAATGAACGTGCAGGAATGTCTCTTTTCTTCTCTTCCACTCACCTCCATCTCTTGAGGATTTACTCCTTAGGGGAGCCTTTCCATCTGCTGGAACCCACACTTACTGCTTCCTCAACCAGCTCCTACGGCCCACTTATGGCGACCATCATAGATGAGCTCTTATCCTTTGTTTCACTAATATGCCACACATCCCCATAATGCTTGACAGTGCTCTGCCCTGAGCCGGTGGACCGAAATTGCAACTCTGTGAACGCCTTGGTTTGTTGCTTTTTCCAGCTCACCCTTTGCCTTGCAGTCTGCCTTTAACTTTGCTCAAAACATCACCCCCATCTTTGCTGGATAGTGTTTCTGCTGCTGTCAGCACCCAGCATCCCACAGTTATGCCACATTGCAAAAGGCTGTGCTTCAACACGTTCTGGGAGCATTTCCCCGCCACAGCATATCATGTGTTTATCTTAAGATGGGTGGGTTTAATTATTAAAGGCTTTGGAGTCTGTCTGAAAGTTTATGCAAGGAAAACAAATTGATGACTCTTATTCAACCAATGTGAAGAAAAGGTCATTCTTGCTCACTCACTCTGATGAAGCATACAATATTCTACTCTTTTCTCTACATTCCTGTATAACACGATGGAAGCTAGTGTGAAAATGGGCAATTTGAAAACTATCCAAACAATTCTCACACATAGGCATAGACATTTAAATAGGATAGCCATGGGATCATTTTTAGGGCTATAAAATCCTGGAAGCAGATTAAATGCCCATTGATGAGGAGGGAGTTAAATATAGCACAGTCATCCTAGGAAATATGACACAGCAGTTGAAAAGAATGAGATGCGTGTGCTGGCAGAGAACTATCTCTCTGATATTTTAAGTGGAAAAAGTATGGTCCGGAAGAGTGCATACAGTATACCTCTGTATTTAAAGGGGAAAGTAAAAAGGCCTACATGTACCTACAGACATAGAATGTCTCAGGGCATCCAAGAAACGTATTGCCTTTGGGGAGTTGAACTAAGGATTGGGGGCAAGATCAGATTATTTCATTTGTCCTCCAGTTATAGCCCAATATCTAATCATTGAGGTATGAATTTCTTTCATCCATAGAATTTGACATGTGAGGCTTTTCTTTCCATCTAAGGTGACTGGTTTGCATTTTTCTAGTTTTCATGCCCAGCTGAGTCCCCATGAAATCATCTTCTGAGCTTCTGGTTGGCCTCTGTTGACCTTCTCCTCTCACAGTGCATGCACTTGATAATTTAAAATGGCAATAACCTCATACACCATTTGCATTATTTTCAGTGATGTCTTTTGTCCTTTTTTGGGGGGGAGATGACATTAAAGTCACTGTCGTAAGTATGTGTGGTATGTCATGGCAACGAGAGCTGAAGTTGAGGCAGCAGAATTGTGTTGTGAGTGAAGAGAGGTGGCCTTGTTATGTTGCATTATGATAAATAACATTAGCTACTTAAATAATTGCACCCATTTCATTGTCATCTGTTTTAATTATGATTTCAACCTGCAAGAATTTACCCTACATTTTTCTCAGGAATGAATTATCTTTGTAACATGATAGGAGAATGTACTTTTTTTTTTTTAACCATGTGTATGAATTACCTTTTCAAAAAAGAAAAGAGAAAAAAATCTCATAGGCTTTTAAATAGTTAAAAAGACTACAGATCAACTGAGAGGCAATTTGAATGAAAGAACTGTGACGCAACAGCCCAAAAGTGGCTGATCCTGGGGGCAGAATTCAAGATGAACCCAGGACCTAGGAGATGGAAATGATGCGACACATCGTGTGAGAGACTGCGGGCCACTGCTGCCCGTGGAACATAATGCAGGGTGTAAAAACCATCAGGCCCAAATGCTATTGACCTGATCTTCGAAAGCCATACAGCTATGCTGATAAATGCACCAAAAATCAACAACAGAGATGCAAAATGAAACAAAACTTTATTTTCTGCAATACCTTCTGTAAATTACAAAGGCAAAATGCTAAACTACAGCATATAACTTTTCAATATTTAACCAGAGTACTTGTAATAAATATGCATCCTGAAACAAGATAAAAGGCTACACTTCATCAGGGAGCCTACAAAATGTCTCAAGTCTTATACTCGGCAGCATTTCTGTGCGGGGCCGGCAAGGGGGTTGTTTTGTGTTTTCTTAAGAGCTGCGACAAAAAGTCCTTTCACATTTCTTTGGAGCATTTTCAAAATTGCTTAACTATGAACAACTTAAGAAAAGTAACACCAAGCATGAGGGTCATTTTCGCTTTGCTGTCGTTGGTCCTCATCCAGTACACATGAACACGTCATCCAACACAGCCAGGCGCCCTCTGAGCCCAGGCAGCCCTGTGGTACGTGGGCCCTGTCAGAGCAGGACGTCACTTTTAGCGATCTACTTTGGAGATTTCTGTATTCAGTTTGCATCCCTCAGTAAGATTGCTGTAAGGGAGGCTGCAAGCAAGTTAGAAACATTTTTAACCTGAAAGTAAAGTGAACAGAGATATCTTCCCCCAAGACCTCGGCTATGCACCATAATGTTTACCATATCAGGATTTTGAGTTTCAAAGTTGAAAAAACCAATTAGTACTAACAGTCCTTCCAGAGATAATTCATGGGTGCTGGTGGAGCTGGGACATTCAAAATATTCAATGGGTAACAAAAAGTATTTACTATATTGAGAAATGTGCTACAGTTCTGAGGACACAAAGGCAGAAAGTCTAGGGGTACTGGTGGCAGCTCATATTGAGTTTGGAATACATAACTACCCTTTGCTATAGCTGAAAACTTTGAGGAAAAAGTTGTATTTTTAAAAAGTCTTAAGCATGGTTACCTACAAAATATTTTGTTAATATAGTCTAATGTGAATTTCACTTATTTAGGG